TTTTTCTTTTGAAAGATTTAGTGAAGTCTTTTAAAAGAACATATATTAGAAGGCCATTGTAAGATGTTTATATCTGTATAGTGAAAACTTCCTTAACTATAACAGCAGGCCTCCAGGATTAAGTAATCCAAAACTACGTAATAAGCACTTCTTCTGCCTCCACCCAAGTTAGCATTTCCATTTTGTACTTACAAGTGTCTACATGACACAATATAAAACTATTTCTCATCTCAAGATTACTTTTGTTCATCAAGGGCTCTAGTTTCCAGCGGTAAAACTGACCACTAAGATATAAGGGCACAGAGGGGATCATCCACACCACAGCATACACTTAGGACAGACTTTCTTATCAAAGTTCCTCTTCAAGATGTACCCTACAGAATGCTGACCAAACAGCTTCCAAATTACACACAAGAGATGAAGTGGTAACAAAGTAAGCTTCAAGAGAAACAACATTCCGAGCACACACAGACAGATGTGATAATCACAACTCCACTTCTGCAGTAATAGGCAATACTCAGTATCTTAATGAACTCTGAATAATTTACATATCAAAAAGTCTGAAAGTATCGATTTCAGGTGAGCAGTTTTTAGTAAGAAAATACTCAACAATGATTCATTCCTCTCCAGGGTATTTGCCCTGTAATGTTATGAAGAGTTTCCCAGAACATTCCTGGCTTTCCTTCAGAAAAAGAAATACCTCTTTAAAATGGAGAACAAGCAGCAAACAAGCATTCTCTGGTAGCCCAGCTTCTTGAAACACATAAAGGGGGACTCACCTGGCTGCAGTTTTATATTGTGTCATTTAGACACATTTAAATATAAAGAAAACTGAGCCAGAATGTGACATTGGCAAAGGAAAACACTGCTGTGTGAAATCACCTTGTTTCACTTTAAATGACCAGGAGTATGTTCCTGGCTGGGCTCTGGCAGAGGACACACCTACTTGGTAAACGATTGCAATAGCCTTGAGAGACCATTTTACAAAGCTATATTCTAATAGCAGGCAAGAGACTCAGAAATGTATTAATGTATTTGCCAGTATATTTATTGAGATGGTGTGTTGTGTGTCTTACTTTAAAGAAGGTGAAGTTCTAGGTAGCACTTTAAATGAATCAGGAGTGCAAAAGACCAGAGAGAGAGAGAGAGAGAGAGACAGACAGACAGACAGACAGACAAACACAGAGAGAGACAGACAGAGACAGAGACAGAGACAGACAGACAGAGAGAAGGTAGACAGGGAGTTAAAGATATATGCTTCTCAAGCAGCATAAAACAGAACTGAGGGGCTGGGGAGATAGCTCAGCGGCACAAACGCTGGGCAAGCACAATGTCTGGAATTCGATCCCCAGTAACACATACACACACAAAGCAAAACAGACAAAAAACCAAACCAGAACTGAAGGTTACCATGCAGTAAAGCTGGTGTAGTCATCTCAGACTGGATGAGTCAGAGGAAACAGTGCCATATAAATGTCTTGGTTTTAGCAGTGATAATTCTCAGTTCAAAATATCACAAATTTAAGAAAAGTTATATTTTTATTTATTAAATAGATTTAATTATATTCCTTCTGAAATACAAAAGATAGAATAAATCATACCATCAGAGAGAGTAAGATATGATAATATGATGGCGGCCAATTAATACATATACATCTATTTCTTCTTGACAGACAACAAATTAATTAAGAGAATAAAGAGATCATTCTAGAAGCAATACTATCTGGAAGATTATTTGGTATTTAAATACTGAGTTCCAAAGTGCTAGGTGGGCAAGTCCAAGCAAGCATCTGTGGTCACATGCACATAAGACCCAACAGTTACGGATGATGAGAAACTGTCACTATTACCGCACAACCTGTGAAAACTTCATCTATTCTAATTGCTCACCTGAAATGATCTTGAACAAAATCTCGAAAGTGTGGCTTGCGCTTTTTATCTTCAGACATAATCTGCTTCATTTTAGAATCTAGGCAGGCAATCCTATTGGAACTGAGTAGGGGCAAGGCATTGTTTCTTACATGCAGAACACCGGGTTTTTCTATTTGGTTCCATCGACTCCCACGCATTTCAGGACCTTAGAAGCAAGAGTTCTTTGCTGATAACAAGTCTGCTCTTTCCAACTTATCATCGACAACCTTCAAGGGGTCCTGTGGAGGCATCAAGACTGCTGTCTGTGTCTGAGGCCAGTGTCTGCTCAGTGGACATGGATGAAATGTCATTGATAGAGGACGACTGAGAAGGCGTGGCATTGCTACTTACTGCTGCATCTGTGCTAAGAAAACCAAATAGAATAAAATCTGAGGCACAACATGGCTGCAAACTCAGGTAACAAGACTTTTGGCCACTTCCTGGCTCTGTCGGTTTGCAGTTTCCTAGTCCTATTAGTATAAGCAAGAGGTCAGTTAAGTGTGAATCTGGAACTCTTCCTTGAGTCTCTCTTCAGGTCCAGCATTGCAAATTGTCCTATGTCTACCCCTGTGGCATGCTCCTTCTCTACCCAGCGATTAAGTGTGTTTGTGGTCATGTATATGTCATATCAATTACTTTTTTTATTATTTATTTCATATCAATTACTTTTACAAATACTTGATTTCAAATAGGCCTTAAAAATGTTACAGGCAACTAAATTAGGTAAAAATGTATGTAGTCAGATCGCGCTAGGCCCTGGAAGGAGCCAGTGCAGAAGACAAGATACCTTACACTATGGGAGAGACAAGCAAAGGTTAAACAAATGCAGCTACATTGGACATCAGGGACTGATATCCTAAATAGGTCTCTATCACCTTGAAAAAGCCAGGGAGAGTCACTAACCCAACCTCCTACAGGAAAAAAAACCCATTCTGTATTCATGTGTGCTTGCATGTGACTTGATCCCAATTAATCACTTTTACCTAAGCAATTATACTTGTAGTGGTATTGGCTGATCACAGTTTCATCTCACCTCATGCCCACCTTGCTATTTCCCATTTTTCATGCCTTGGACTGGTCTCGTGTTGTGGATTTGCTCTATAAAAATCCCTAGAAAGGCAGGGTCCTCGGCAACCCACTTGGGACCCCTTCTGTCCTTCTTTCAGACAGGAGCTTTCTTTCTCTCAATAAGTATATTCTGCTCGAGACTGGGCATGGTGGTGCATGCCTGTAATCCCAGCACTTGGGAGGCTGAAAACAAGAGGATCACTATGAGTCCAAACTGTGTAGTGAGACCCTGTAGACCCTGTACTAAATACATTTAAAAAAAAAATCTGCTCTTAACCTCCTTTGTTCCTAAAATTCATTCTTTGATTTTAAAGAACATTAACTCATCCTAGACATCTAGCAGGTTGGGAGTTTCTTTCTGCTATATCAAAAAGGCACTGCTGAATCTACCCTAATAGTATTATAAGAAGCTTAAGGCTGAATAGGTTTCAAGTGTCATCAGATATATTCACTATAATATAAGCATTTGGGGGAAAAGTACCAACATTCAAAATAATACATTGTAAAAAAGAAAAATATTTTCTGAAATAAAAAACTGCACCAAAAAAAGGAAAAAAAATAGTGTCATCTTATCCATTTACTTTTTATTTTATGAATCCAGAAAACTGACATTTTAATATTTGAAGACAAATGAAGCTATCCATTTCCTATTATCCACATTTTAGTCTGGTTTGAGCAAAAATAAAACTTCTAAGTGCTCAAAGATTAGTGTTTGCTGTTTTGAATTTACACTTGTTTAAAAGCAGCACCTAGATTCTTGCTAAAGTTACATGATCTCAGATGCCTGATATATACTCATGCTGAATACAAAATATAGATTACGAAGTAGCTCTGTATCTTTACATATGACTTCAAGTGGGAGCAAAAACATAAATACAACTGAAGAGTTTCCTTTCGTAACTTAGAGACAGAGGTTAATGCCACTAATATACTGGAGTACTCCCCAAATGATATGATTATCTATCTAGCCATGGGTGTCTACCACTAGGTAGGTCCAGTTTAAAAATGGGAGAATTATATGAGTAATTTTCTCAAGAGAAAACCAAATTCCAGGCCAGCTAGATAGCTCAGCGGACTAAAACATCTGCTTAGGCAGAGTGCAGGGGCCGGGGTTTGATCCCCAGCACCACAGGTATGCCAGCCTGCCCCCAGGGCACACTGAGATGGCATGGTGGCGTGCGCCTGTAATCCCAGCACTTGGGAGGCTGAAAACAGGAGGATCACTACAAGTCAGATCTGCATAGTGAGACCATGTAGACCTTGTACTAAATACATTAAAAAAAAAGAAAAAGAAAACCAAATCTGGATTTATATTAATTTTTAAATTAAATGTTTTTAAAAAGACAAATTAAAAATAAACAAAAACCACTGAATAGGACCAGTACGAAGAGGGTCAAATAAAAGATTTTTAAGTTCAATTTCTTCTTTCTTTCTTTCTTTCTTTCTTTCTTTCTTTCTTTCTTTCTTTCTTTCTTTTTTTTTTTTTTTGCGGAACCGGGGATTGAACTCAGGCCCTTGAGCTTGCCAGGGAAGCGCTTATTCCACTGAGCCATCTCCCTGGCCCAAAAATTTATTTATTTGTTTGGGTTTTTTTTTTGCGGAACCTCTTCTTCTGTAAATGGAGTTGACAGAAACTGTTACAAGGATGAAACAAGAATGTTTAAAATGTAGTTAGTTCAATTCTAGGAAGAGCAGTAAAATATTGGATGCCGCCACCATCAAACTATCATAAGCCAAAAAGAGAGGCCAATTTACACAAACAGCTGTCAAATCCACTGGCTACCAAACAGGCATTTAACACATTGCTGCCATGTATAAAAGTTGACTAGGCAAAGAAAACATTATATAATGAAACAATTAAAGCAATCACTAACCTGAAGGTTGATCTTTTACAACACCATTCTTGCTTCTTTCTTCCCAATCCATTACTTCTTTGTAAATTAGCTCTTCAAATAGAAATGTAAGTTAAAATACTTTGTCAGTTTCTTTACATCTCTAAATTTTGCTTCCAAACTAACTGAAACCATTCCAATGACACTGTGATGTGTTATTTCAAATTGTGAATTACAACAAAATTATTGATATAGTCTACTTGGATCAAAACACCTGTATTTTGGTCCATTAAATCTTTTCTCTCCTGTTTATTGTAGTGCTATAAACTAAACTCAGGATTTCATACATGCTAGGTAAGAGCTCTACCACTGGGCTATGTCTCTAGTCTTTCAATGAAACTATTAAGGCATCCAAAAATGTAGTTATTCTGAATCCACATATAGATTTTACATACAACACACACACACACACACACACACACACACACACACACACAGAGTACCTCTCTGAAACATTTTAAGAAACTAGGTGTCTCAAAGCCATAGACTGAATGTGCTTTCTTCCATGATTACTTGTGGCTGTCCAAGTGGAACCAGTTCTCACATATGAATTATAAGCTCCTGTAGACTGGGCAGAAATGAATCCACACACCTAGGTCTTATGTCATATTCAATTTCAGTTTCCCACAGTTTTTACTGACAAGAACAAACTGGCTACCAGTATTTGATAGTGTAAAATCATGTGAAAAGCCCTTATATTTCACCCTGACACAAACAGTCTGAGTACAAACAAGGTCCTTTCTAATGACGTTATCCCCAGTTCTTTGTCTACTTGACAGGGGAGAGAGAGGCTAAGGCAAGGCAGTGTCTGCTGCCCATTCTGCAAGGGCCAGTCTTAAAACAATGAAGAGCTTCTCCTTCACAAGATTATAAGGATGTCCTAAGGAAGGATCAATTCAAGCTACCTTTACCTTTCCACTCTTCAATTGCATGTTCTCTTTCTTCCAACTGGGCATCATATATTTGAGGTGGTGGCTAAAATTCAAACAATATGTGAGATTAATACTTCAGATAATGAAGCAGGAAGTAAAAGTAACACTACTTGGAAAATTTCTAGTGTACTTACTAATGGACTTAGTGTTTGTTTTTTTCACCAAGAATCAAACCCAGGACATGCATCTGCCAGCCAGGAGCTTCTGTCGTATCCCTGGCTGGATTTAGTGTTCTTTTTTTTTTTTTT